CTTGTACATACCAGACTTTATGTTAGATATTCAATCCTTGGTGCATTTGCAAGGTATCTGCCAGGTAACAGGCTAAAGCCCTCCACAGTGGTGAGGGCTGGGGGGTCTCCTGGGCTGCCTCCCTCGCTCCTGCTGGCTCTGCCCCGCACAGGTGCCTCGTTCCTTCTCTCTGTGTCTGGCTGGGGGATGACGTGTGTGTCAGGAGATCCCTCCTCCTGTGGTTGCTGGAAGGAAAGGAGCATTTTTCTCCCCTGAAGTCACCTCTCCCCACCCCTGCAGGATGTCTGCACAGTAGCTGCCTCAGCTCAGGCAGGTGCTGTGGCAGTGCTGCTGCTTCCCTGTTTGCCTGGCTCCCGAGCACAACATTCCTCACAGGCAGCAGTAGCACCCTGTGTTGCTGTGCCCAGGAGTGGGATCACTGGCTGCAGGCAGGGTGGGAACACCTCCCGTGGCAGTGGCACCTGCAGGGTCTGACACAGCCCCTCCACAGCCCTCCTGCTCTTGTAGCTTGGCCACTCTTGCTGCAGTTTGGTTTCTTGAGCTGAGTTCAGGCTTCCCTCCTCCTTTGTTCTTCCCACTTCATGGCAGTAGGTTTCCATGTCTCTGCCCTGTGTGTGGAAAATCTCACTGGGGACTCGTGTAGAGATGGTCTTTTCCTGTCTGAGAGAGAGGGGGGATTTTGCAGCGGCCCAGCGTGATGTTCACCCACCCTTTTCCCAGCACTGCAGCATTAACAGAACTGCAGAGGCAGGGAGGGAGTCATCTGTGCCATGTGTTAGTTGTTAATTTTAGCTTTACCATAACTCTTGATGACAGGGCTTGGTTGTTTTCTGCTGTAGGCAGCATGTAGCAGTTATCCTGGAGATCTTACAGCCACGGTGTGGCCGTAAGACAGTAAAGCTGCAGCTCATCCCTGAGCTGTGTCAGGGTGTCCATAGCCAGATTCTCCCCTGGCTCCCACAGCTGCTGCTGCTGCTGAAGTTGAGAGGCCATATGGTACCACTTTTCTTGCATTTGTGCTAAACCTCTGCCTTCAGGTTACGTAAGGATGGCATTAGGCACAGCCTGAATTCCACGTGTGTCTGAGGACAGAGCTTGGCCAAAAGGTGGTTGTGTACCTGCCAGGTTACATTCTGCATTTAACCTTTTTCTACAGCCTTTTTCCTAATTCTGGGTACCTGGGGAAGTCTGTACAAAGTACCACCCTGTACTGGCATGGTCAAAAGAGCATCTCAGGATTAGCTGTACACTGGACAACTTCTGGTTCATAGGGTGCTACAGGGAACTCTTACACACTGAAGCAAATCATACAGCTTTAACACCTTCTCTAGGTTGTTGCTGACACTTGGCTTGTTATAATGCATTGCATTTGGGCTCGAGTTGGGAGCAGAATCACTGCCTACATCAGAAAATACCCGTCTGATTGTCTGCTGGTGCTGACGGTAGTGTTTGGTGGTGCATGAGTTACCCAGAGAGCACCGTGCCTCTGACAGCTCTGCTGCCATACAGTGCTGGAGGTTCTCCTGGCTGGTGTCCAGAGATGATGTTCTGACTGCTGTTCAGGCTCAGTGAAGTGGCCTGCTTAAAGGTGTGGGGAGCACTGGCCCTGTGCTGTAGCAAACTCCAGCAGGGAGTCCCTGGGAGCTCCTTTTTATATCATTTGTGCTGGTCATCTGCTGCTGTGGCCCACAGTGTGTTTGTTCAGTCTCTCTCTTTTGTTAAACACTCTATGAGGATGCAAACACCACTGCAGCCAAGGAATGCTGTGACTCTGTGCTCCTTCTCAGGCAAACTGTAGGGAGTTGATGATGACTTGGGTGGAAACTAAGAGTTGATGTGTTAAAGGGCTGGAGGTAACAGCTGACTGCTTGAAACAGAGGTGCTGGGAGGGGCAAGGAATCCTATAAAGGCTGAAGTGGTTGATCTGAAGTCATGTCAAGTGGAGTGTCAGAAACAAGACATGCTTGTGTTGTAGTCGAACATTATTCATAGGCACTTTAACAAGCTTGGGAATTAAATATGGGGGGGAAAAAGTGATGTAGTTCTTGTCAAGGCTTTCACAAGCTTGCAGTGTGCAGTCTGGGCTGTGACTGGTGGAAAACCAGACCTGAATTGCCATGTAGTCAGGGCTTTTCCTGGGCACTTATGAACTCACAGCACTCACACTGCAGCTGCATATACATTTTCCAGAATACACTTGTGGAATTTTACATAGGCTTTTTTAGCATGCTAATCATCTCCATGGTCACTCATTCCTGGAGTTAATGACTGGTCTCTTAGAGCAAACAAGTTAGCAAACTGACAGCTGCTCCTAACGAATCACTTGCTTGGAGAGGCCAATGCAAGTTTAATATCCACAATAAATCCTTCTTCTGCTGCTCATGGTTCAGTGGAGCAATGGCAAAGAAATGAGGTAATAACTTTCATTTATCAAAGCAGTTTGGGCTGTAGTAGATTTGTACATGAGAGCTCATAGACAGAAATGCCAGAGAATTACAGGCTGTGGATTTCTGCTCCTCTTTGGGTAGTATGAAGTGTAAATGGGAAAATGTAGGTGTTATAGGTCTCTCAGCATAACCTCACAGTCAGACTGTCAATAGCTGCCAGTCCCCAGGTACATGGTTGGCATCAAAAGCTGGGCAAGAAGCGTGCAGGTATCTGGGGAGCTCTGGGAGGGCTTTTCTCTGCCCTACCAGGAGTGAACTGAAACCTCACACTGAGTAGGGAACAGAAGCAAGAGGAAACTTGTTCCAGGTGTGCACCTCGTGTTCCCTGGGGGTGTGCAGCCCCTCCTGCCCTGTCTGGGGGTCTGGGATCACTGCAGAGCTCCTGGGATGGGATGGGACAGAGCAGGTTGGTGGGTGCTGTGCTCTGCTGGGAGGAATTCCTGCAGCTGCTGCCTCGCAGGACCTTTTCCAATCACAGTGCCCACAGTAATCAATAGCCATCTTTGATCAGTTAACCATTAACTCATGGCAAATAGCAGGGGTTTTCCATAACATTTGGCTATAAATAAATAAATTGCAGCCTTGGATAAGGCAACAAATGTTCTGAAATTCCCATTTCTCCTGTCAGGGCTGAGCTAGCCTAAGGATTGGCATTTTCTTAGCACTTTGTTTGCAATAAACTGATGGATCTAGTTGGCAGCTAGTTTGTATTACACATTTAGCTTGGGACATTGTTAGCTGCTAATATTAAACTTATAGTTGTTGCTTCACTAAAATACTGAAATCAGGTTTAATACTTTAAAATAGTAATTATTAGATTTTTTTTTTAAATTATCATTTCATTTGACAAATATGTTCACAGTCTAAAATGGCAACACTGTACCAGGATGTTGAGCTATTGAATGAAAGGCTAATCTCCCTTCATGATGTGAAATAAGGGAATTAATGGTATAGACACCAAGAAACCCATGGTTTAATGAATGGTCTTTCCATTTAAGTATTGGCATTAGTCCTGTGTATATACTTGCCAGCATCCCATTTAACCTGATCATCCTGCACAGCCCCTACAGGTGTTTGTGCTTGTGCTGCACTGCCCTGAAGCAGTTCAGTTTAAAAATGGTGTTGGTTTGGCATGGCCAGATTTTGTGTTTTCCATGGATGTGTATAAAATGTTCACAGCACAGCAGGGGAGAATTCTGGGTGATAAAAGCCCAGTGTTGTATATTCTTGAGTTCCTATGCTCTTGGGTGTATTAGCAGTTTTGTTGATGCCAGTGATTAATGTCAAGCTTGTGCATGCATTTGTAGAAATAGGGCCTCAAACAGCACATGGAACACAGCAGTGTCTTAGAGTTGTGTGAGGCAAAAAAATCTCAATTTTTTTATTTTCTACTGTAGTATTTAAGAAAAGATCATACAGCCTTGACTTGAGATGTACTGTCCTGCTGCAATGGAATAGAGACCAGTGGACATCTCAGAAAAACTTAAAAGTCAGTAGTTCTGAGTGTGTGACAGAACGCTGTGGATTCTCCACAGTTTCATTTCTTCTTCATGGGAATACAGAACCAAAGTGATTCTTGAATTATCTCTCTGCTCTGGTTTCGCTTTAAAAGAGGTTATGCATAGGTAGAAATAAATGCATAGGCAATAGACTCTTAAAACTATAATTATGAGGAAACAGCTTTAAAAAAAACAAACAAAAAACCAAAAATAACCAAACCACCTCAAAATCACCTCTTTGTAAAGCTTACTGACATCATGACCTTCCCTGTGAGTCTGCCATGTGTGGAGCTGACCACTGACTTTGCCAGTGCTGTGTTGGCTCCTTGTGCTTTGGTCTGCTGAGGACTCCTGGGAGCCATCCCTGGCATCGCCCAGGGCAGCCTGGGCAGCAAAGGGGAATTTCTGACCCCACTCCAGCAGCATTTGTGCCCTGAGGAAGGTAGAAGCTTTGCTCTTCTGTGTTGTAGGGTGCCAGGTTTTGTCTGGGAGGTTACATGCTCTGTGAACAGAGAGTTGAACAGGTAATAAATGTGGCTGATAGATCCACTCCTGCAGTACTGTGTGGCTTTCACTGAGGACCAACACTCCTGGTGTAGCATTTCTGGAGAGGGGCAAAGAGAAACCTTTTGGGTTTGAACTGAATTGTTCTTTTATTAGTGACTGTTGAATGTAATGTGGTGGAGCACTTAGTTGTGAAGGTGCCACTGAATTATTTCTTGGGTAAGCTGAGTTATTTGCAGAGAGTGTAGATTTTCTCTCCTTTCTGTTTGCACCTGCCTCCTCTGGATTTCTGTCTTAGCTAGCCTCAGTCTCCATGGATTGAAACACCAGCAGAGGCTTGCCCCCCTTAATTTTGGGTTAATTTCCAGGCATTTGTTTCCCTCCAGCCGCCTGCTGCTCTCTTGGGTACTTGAATCTATTCAGAGTGAGGAGCTCGTTGATTTAGGGCCTGATGGGGGGTATCATGAGTGTTGTGAATCAACAGCCTGGAGCTGTTTTTAGGAGCTGCTGAGGGTTTTAACTTTGATTGTCTTTCTGTTTTGTAGGTATTTGTATAAAGTGTGGAAAAGGTGTGTATGGAGCGAGCCAGGCTTGCCAGGCAATGGGTAACCTCTATCATACCAACTGCTTCACGTGCTGCTCTTGTGGTAAGTCAGATCTACCGTAGCCTTATTATGTGGCTTCCTTTTGTTATATATATTCCTTTAGCAACCAGTGCACAGGGTGAGACCTCATCTTGCCTACTTCCTCAGGCAAAATTCCCACGCAAGACTCCAGCTTCAAAAGTTGTTTTTTTTTTTTATTTGCCATCTGTAAGCGTTCAATGGTGTTTTCCTAAGCAGCAGCCCAGAAAAATAGTGTTTGGTTGTTTTAAGGGCTGCATTTGCAAAAAGGCTTCAACCTGGTTGTTATAAGCACTATATGCTTTAAATCACTTGTGTTTATGGAACTGTAAAGTGCATGTATCATTTTTATGGAAAAAAGGGACAGATTTGTGCAGCCAAACACATATTTTTGTCTCTTTCTATTTGCAAATGCAGCTCTAGTCAAGCATGTGTATTTGTCACTTCCATGTATACCCAATGGTCAGAAATTGTTCTCTTATGTTCAAATGTGTCAAGAACAAATAGAAACTGCATGTTGAAATATCTTATGCTATTACAGAATTTTATTTTTGTAGGGGAAGACCAGGTGGTAAATCACTGTCTCCTCCATGCTGTTCTTAGGACCTTTTTAGGTTTCCTTTTTAATCTGAAAGTGATGTTTCTGTGTGTGATTTGGGGAAGCCGTGGCTTTGCCAGGGGAAACAGGACATGGAAAATTCAGGGCAGCACTTTCAGAGTTGTTTGCCTTAAGTCAAGCATTGTGAGCTTAAGTTAGAGACTTCCTCAGTGTCTTGTCTGTAACTGCTGAGAGCTCATGAATTCCCACCCAGTTCAAGGGAAGTATGAGAGCTCAATTTTCAGGAGTCAGGTAATTTTTTATGCTTTATGCACACATTTACTTAGATTCCTGATATATGAAAATATTTACCTGGATGTTGAAGGTCTTGTTGTGATACATATACACAGCAAAAGATTCCCTCTGAGCAGAATATGCCAAGTGGAAATTGTTTATAAAAAGGATTAATTAAGGATTAGGAAAAGAGTCAAAGATTATTGGCATAGAAGCAAATAAGTTGATAATCAAAAGACCATTGTAAAGTTCACTTGTGAAAGGAGAAGTGTTGTCTTTTCTCCTGAGGTAGAGATAAATATTTGTTTAAATAAACCTGCAACCTGACTGTAGAATTTAGCGACCTTTAGAAATGACTGTGGACCATTACCAGATGCTGGGATGAACTCATCCCAAACCTTCAGGGATCACTCTTGACTTTGCTCAAGTCTGACAGTGAATGAGTAGCTATTTTGTTGGCTCCCAAAGTGAGCAGCATCCTGCTTAGCTGAGGATTACAAAATATGATAGTGGATAATATCTATCCACTCACTGCCAACATTAACCGAACCTAATTGCATGGGTGAGTTCCAGCTTCCTCTCTGGGGCAGAAATGTTGTTTTGAAGTAGTCAGGATGCAAGTTTGCTACCACAGGGATCTGTATGCAGGTCACTCTGTTCCTTAGTAAAATGTGTAAGGGCCAAGAAATGTATTTTAACGGCAAAATACGAACACAACTTGATTATTTAAAAGCACAACAAGCTCTTCTGACTGTTCTGGTGGGGTGTGTGTGGCCAGTGTACATCTCCCATAGGGCGACTCGAGACATGTCTGTTTGGAGCTTCTTTGTGCCCCACCCCAGCGTGCCCTGGAATTTTGTGATTCACGCTGAGTCACCAAAGGCATGAGGAAACAGTGCTCCAGGTTGTCTTCTGAGCCTCTCTGTGCTGCTCTGGGCTGGATGGTCCATGCCATGGAGGGGGAATGTGTGGGGACTGCCTTACACGGGGCACTGCAGAGGGGGACGTGCTGCTGACAGGGCAGCAGTGCCTGAGTGCAGGTGAAACACTTCATCAAAGCTTGGGTTCATCTACAACAAGTGGGAGTCAAAAGCAGAGCTTTTCCTCTCAGCTCAGCTCTGAAGGAGTATCAAAATGAGCATAGCTGGAAAAAGGGTGTTGCATTTACTCTTCTGTTTCTTCCTGTATTTGGGGCCGTGCAGCCCATGGAGTGATTCGGGACAGTGCCAGTAGATCCAGACTTGGCATGCAGGGTCTTTCTGTGAGAACTGCACCCTTGAGTGCAGCTACCAAATGGAAACTTCTTACAGTACTGCTGTTTGTGAACAGGGAGTTAATTCTGTGACACTGGAACCTGCGCTGTAGTTTTGGTGCCCACCTTTAAAGGGATGAAGGTAACTGGAGAGGGAGGGTCCAGAAGCACCTACATAGATGATTAAAGGCTGGAGAAGGGCTAATCATGACACCCCAGTGTATTTTGGGTATCAGAAATTATGGGAGGGAGATGTGGCTGGAGCTTATAAATACCCATGAAACAGCATTAGAAAGTGGTCTCATATGTACTAGAGACAAACACAAGAGAGATCGTTTCTGGAGGCTGAAATTACACAATTCAAATAGGAAATCAGAGACAGTTTTTCTACAATGAAGATGATTAACTGCTGGAAGGAAACAGCAAGAGAAGTGGCAGATTCTCTGCTCTTCTTTGTTTTCAAATTAAGACCAAATGTCCCTTTGCAGAATGTTTTAAGTTGAGCTGAGCTTTGGGTAATTGGGTGATCATTAATGATCTTTGTTAGGTGAGGGGTCACAACACACACTAGTGCTCCTTCTGAGCCTTTGGCAGGAGAGTGGAGCAGGGCCATGGTTCTCTCTGCCTAAAACAGTTCTGTGCTTACTTGTGTGGGCTTGACCCTGGCTGGGTGTCAAGTGCCCACCAAAGCCACTCTGTCACTGCCTCCTCAGCTGGATGGAGAGACAAAACACAATGAAACATTTGTGGGTCAGGATAAGGACAGGGAGAGATCAGTCACCAGGTACTGACACAGTTTATTACCAATCAAATCAGAATAGGATAATGAGAAATAAAAACTGAATCTGAAAACACCTTCTCCTCACCCCTCCCTTCTTCCTGGGCTCTCGTTTACTCCCAGCTTTCTCTACCTTCTCCCCTGAGCAGTGCAGGGGGATGTGGGATGGGGGCTGTGGTCAGTTCATCCCATCTTGTCTCTGCTGCTGCTTCCTCCTCAGTGGGAGGACTCCTCACACTCTTCCCCTGCTCCTGTGTGGGGTCCCTCCCACGGGATGCAGTCAGTCCTTTGAGAACAGGCTGCTCCAGAGTGGGTCCCTTCCATGGGGTCAGTCCTTAGGAACAGGCTGCTCCAGAGTGGGTCCCTTCCATGGGGTCAGTCCTTAGGAACAGGCTGCTCCAGAGTGGGTCCCTTCCATGGCCTTTACTGGACATGGGGGAGTTTCTGGCAGCTTCTCACAGAAGCCACCCCTGTAGCTCTCTCACCACCAAAGCCTTGCTACACCAACCAAATACAGCTTAGAAATCTGAGAGTAAGAGCACGAGATTGCCTTTCTTCTTTTGTCCTTCTTTTTCCCCCCCAAATAACAATGACCTGAAGTTTCCTCCAGCAGTTTTCAGTCTTACTTTCCATATAATGGCTGTAGAGAGTAAAAGGCAATAATCGAAAACAATAATTCTGTACCTAAAGACATCTGATTTAGATAAGGGCCCAATATTTAACCAGCTACAATTAAAAAATAAATAAAATAATATTTCAAACCCTTGGGAAAAGTTGTGGTTTGGAGACCACTCAGGCTGAAATGTGATAATGAGTGATGGAGCCTCCAAGGCCTCATTTCATCACTTGGCAGTGAGTGTTTTCAACTCAGCAAAGACAAGTGCAGTTGTGCAGAGAAGTGGAAATTCTGCCCTAGTCAGAGCCCTTTCTTAGGCACTTCTTGGAGCTGATCTTTGGTTTCAGTGCCAGGTGCTGTCTGTCAGGGTGCCCTGGGTGAAAAGGGCAGCGTGTGGCAGGACAGGCCCCCCCGTGCCTTCCTGGGAGCACAGAGGGCTCGCTCCTTGGCTGTCCTTTCCCACTCCCACCATCACATATCACAGCAGTGCTGGAGGGTTTGTCTTCCTTGCAGTTAAGAGGAAAACCAAAAATACACCCATGGGCACTTCTGTGAGAGCTCCAGCCTTGCCCAGGGTAGGGGTGTGAGGATGGAAGGGTGGACTTTTGGGGGTCTCCTGCAGAGATGGTGATTAGTTCTTGAGGGCGCAAACACAGAAAAATGGAGAAATATTTCAAATACAAAGTAAATAAACAGGAGACTTCTGTCCCCTTTAGGCATTTTGGTAAAATGCTCAGATGGTAAACCTCTTCATTGTCTTCCTACATTCTGGCAACTTTGGGGAAAAAACCTCAGTAATGTTGATTCAGAGTTGTACAGGATCTCCTCAAAAAAAGCAAATTTCACCAGTGACCTGAGGTCAAAAGAAAAATAGAAAGGAAAAGTAAATTACTTATCAGGCACGTTTTATGTGCTGCATTTCTGCCTCTCCAGTGTGTTCAGTGGCTTCTGGATAGTTGAGCCTTGCTCCTGGAGCTGAGCAAGTTCAGCATCTCAGAACTCTGTCAGTTAATTTTTGCCACGTCTCTGTGTAAACCCCTGTTGGCTTCTGCAAAAGGCCATGCTCCTCAAATAGCTCTTTTTCAGAGGTCAGATAATTCTCTTCAGGTAAGGTAAAAGCCAAAGTGATCTGGTTTCCTGGGATCAAGTAGTTCAATGTAGACCTTTATCCTCAATCTCCTAGAGAAAACAACTGAAGCTTGTTAGGATGGTTTCTAAATGTAGATTCCCTCTCAGCCCTGACACCAGTAAAACCTCTTTTAGGCCTTGATTCAACAAAACACTTAGCTGTGTTTAAATATGTTATATTACTCATATGTGAGCATGTTTTGCTGAATCTTAAATAACAGATATTAATTCAGGCAACAACATACTGTCCCTTCTGTTGAGTGTAAAATCTTAGCTTTGGCAGGAGTTCAGTTGCAAATTTTTTTTATGGAAGACAAGAGCTGAAAAATGTCTGCCTGAAAAGCTCATCATGTAATTCCTCTTGATAGTGTTTCAGAGCATGACAGGATTTCATGAAGAATAATTGCTATAATGCCAG